ATTAGTTGCTCACAAGTCCTTTTAGTGTCATTTAGGTGCATGGAAAGGCAGTTTCTGTGCCATTCTGTGAATGTATGAAGACCTAAGATTAAGAGGTCTGTAAGGAATCTCTGAAAGTCTGTTCTTTGTAAGAGTTGGGGGAAGTCAATCTACAGGGCTCGTGATTGTGTTTACTATCACGTGAGGGTCATGCTGTCATCTCTTTGACCATTTAATCTTGATTACTTGCCCTAAAATTGACAATCTCCTTCCTGAGTTGTTATGATCAGTGTGTTCCTTTTGTGTTAATGTTGAAAGCTGTTCTGTGAAAGAGTTGGTTAGGCTTGCTTCAGACTGGCTAGTGCTAGGGTCTGATTTATGAACATCCTGTTGTCTTGGGCCTCTGTGGAATTCGGCTCCTCATGTTTCAACCATGTTTTGACCACATCTTAGATTGTCTGATATCCTACATCCATGTGACTCCTGTGGTTTAACCTCAATTTTATGAAGCAACACGAGTGCTGTTTTTCAAAAAAAAAAAAATTATTTACCACTTTATTTACAATAAAATATTTTTCAAAGCTTGTTCATGCTACAATGTTAATTCTAGCGTAAACACAACATACATGCGTCATGATGCTCTTATGAGCGTGTGTGGCAGATCAATATTTTTTAAAAATTAAGCGGAATCTCTCACAAACAAAGCATGTGCATTGCTTCATAAAATTGAGGTTAAACCACAGGAGTCACATGGATTACTTTAATGATGTCTTTCTACTGTTCTGGACCTTGAATGTTTTAGTTGCGTTGCTGGCAATGGAGGGTCAGAAAGCTCTCGAATTTCATCAAAAATATCCTCACTTGTGTTCTGAAGATGAACAAAGGTCTTATGGGATTGAAATTATATGAGGGTGAGTAATTGATGACAGAATTTTAATTTTTGGTTGAACAAACCCTTTATGACATTGTACATGTATTTACACTTTTTGTTTTGTCTGTTGCCACCTCATCGCTTACATTTATTGTCGTCAGAAAGCCAAACCTCTCTCACACCTCATCAAAAATCTACCCTGCCACTACCGCCATGTTTGCTACTATTTATTAACTTGGCCAAATGTTTGCTGCTACAAGCACGGTCACAGTATACAGTTTCAGCAGCCCTTGGTGTTTAAAACGCATATCTCGATTTGTTTAACGTCTCAGTCAACTTGCAGCACATATTTACTTCAATTTTCAAGCGACCTTGAGTACATTGTTACATTCCTATTACTCACAAAAGCAGCATAGGGAAACTGTAAACCAGAGGTGTCTAAACTCGGTCCTGGATGTCCACTCTTCTGCAGAATTTAGCTACAACTTAACTGGAAGTTTCTGGTATGCCTAGTAATACCTTAGTTAACTGATTCAGATGTATTTAATTAAGGATGGAGCTAAACTCTGCAGGACAGTGACCCACAGAGCAGGATTCGACACCCCTGCTTTAAACAATCACTTTTTTTGTTTGTTATTCAAAACATTGAATGTGTTTAATTTGTGTATATTGAAGTCTGTCAGTGTGTATTGTATATAGAATAACCAACTTTTCTGTTATTTTCTGATTTTAAAGGCTCATGGTGAGACACTTCATACACACAAGAAGGGCGTGAAAGGTGTCCTCCTAAAGAAAAAAAGGACTGTAATGGACATGTATGTGTTTTTTTTCAAGCTTGTCTCAGCTTTGTATGGCAGTTTTTTGCTACTTTTGTGCCCTTGTTGTATACATACAGTATACTGGCATTCACACATTAGCATGCACAGGCAGGTTGTGTACTGTTCTTAATATTAAAACCCTGTTTATAAGCACTGCAAGAAAAAAATAAATTTTAAATGTTTCAAACAAATGTAGTATTTTTTCTAAAATAAAGTTTACATTATCATAAGTAGAAAATTAATGTTGAAAATTTTGAAAAAAATAAATTTTAAATGTTTCAAACAAATGTAGTATTTTTTCTAAAATAAAGTTTACATTATCATAAGTAGAAAATTAATGTTGAAATTTTTGAACTTAAGTTGAAACAGCAAATATTGTAAAGTCAAATGAACTTCAATAAAACAATTCAGCACTAGGCAAGATTTAAATTAGTGAGTTGAAATGACTTGTACTTTTAAGTTGATTTAACTTACAATTTTAAGGCAGCCACAAAACTTTTTAAGTTGAAAGGGGTGACATTTTTTTACAGTGTAGTATCTGTGCAATCAAGTCTACGATATCGCTGGAAATTAAGTGTCCCCAACTAAGCAAGCCAGAGGCGACAGCGGCAAGGAACCAAAAATCCATCGGTGACAGAAAGGAGGAAAAAAACCTTGCGAGAAACCAGGCTCAGTCGGGGGGCCAGTTCTCCTCTGGCCATATGAAACCAGCAGTTCAGTTTCAGGCTGCAGCAAAGTCACATTGTGCAGAGGACTCAACTGGTTCCTGTGGT